GGGGACTTGGCAGCCCCAGCTACCCCTCCACCCAACATCTCCATTGGGCACCTCTGCTCCTGCTCTGAGGCCTGACAGCCCCGCGGCCACAGCTCCCAGAGAAGCTCTGGAGAAGGCTTGGACCCTTTTGCACCTAAAGCTCCTGACCATCCTGCAAGTCCCTTCTGTGGCAGCTGTCGCCGTCTCCCTGGTTGCCTCAGACCCAACAACATGTTCCCAAGCTGTGATCCAGCACTTCAGAAGGTGTGAGCAGCTCTTGGCTTGTACACCTATAGTTTCACAGCTCCACACAGGTCTTCCCACCACATCCCATACTGGCATGTGATCCTGCGTGTATATGCTGAGCACCGTCTTGTAGCTGAACTCCTTCCCTCTGTCTGAGCCAAGGCACCAGCTAAATGTCACCTGCCTGTCCCATCCCCTTGTGCACATGGACAGAAATGTACCCCTTGCTGGGACCCAGGTGATCCACGCTCTGTGGTCCCTTGGGCAGGTAGACACCGGAGAGCAGACATCCGTGCGTCCATCCCCAACATCTCTGCTCTTTTCTGTTGTCTGCCATGGGGAGAACAAGGCACAATGGAGACATTTCTCGATAGCCCAGAACAGCCCCACGGAGGTATATTATGCCTGGGACTGCTCAGGAAGGGATTTCAGTTCCCCCACCCGCTCCTGATGGATCAGACACTGACCAGCCAGGGATGTTCTTCCCACACCCGTGGCCATCACAGCACAACTGCAGTCTCACCAGTGGGGCTTGGCGAGGGGGATGGGGGGGTCTGACTGGCAATTTAGTCAACCCGGCTCAATAAACCATGTATGAAATAACCAAAGGCTGGTGGTCTGTTGCGGCTGTTTCACCAGAGGCCGTTCCTGGAGGCTCCATGCTTGGAGCGCGCCTCCAGGATGAGCCCAGTTTGTGCGACGAGGTTGGGGGTTGGGATGCTCAAACTCCCGTTGCCCGCAGACTCCCTTCCCCCCCCCCAGTGCTGGCTGCAGAGATGACTTGACACGTTCGGAGTCAGCGCCAGGAGCTGCTGGGAAGCCCAGTGGTGCCTTCTCCCATGGCTCCTGCCCTGCTCGGTGTCTGCTCCTGGTCCCCCACGGCTGGGCTGGGGAGGGATGGGGCCGTCCTGCCTCACGGCAGCTCCGGGACCCGCAGCCCCGCACCAGCCGGCAGCTACCACCGCCCAACAATTGCTGAAACCTAATTAGCATCACTCAATTAGCGCACAAAAGGGCTGGCCCGCAGCACCCGTGGCTCTGCCGCCCGGGTGTCCCCCCCGCCCCGCTCCGGCCGCCTCTTTGCCCGCACCCCCAGCGCTGCCACAGGCCCCGGTCCCG